CAAATGACAATATTTGGCACTTCGTCGAAGTCGCTCAGCCGCAGTAGCCACCATAGCAAATGCCGCAAGGATATACTCGCCTTGTCCTTGTCTCGTAAATCGCACTTCATGGACTGCGGTGATGTCAGCCTTTATATTTATGAGGACATCAACCAGCTGATTGGGTTCGTTTTGTACACGGCCCCAAACCTAGCGCACAACCCTGAGGAGGGATGGTTCGCCTCCTCTCTTGGAGTCGCCTTCAAAGATATGTTTTTGACTACCCAGAGAATACTTGATATGAGACCGGAAATCGTGAGCTGCTTAAGTCATATGTAAACAACTTAATTTCTGGTCACTCCCATCTGAATGGCAATCAGAGAACTTTTTTCACCTGCGAGAACTTCTGCACATGATTTCATCTTCCAATGCATTTAGCACATAATTAAAATATAGAAAATAATTAAATTTAATATTTTGAAATACYAKTTGGAAAAAAATGTGTACTTATTTAAACCGGATGCGCATAACTAAACCAAGAATAAAAATATGATTTTGAGACTACTATCTCTGCAAGCCACTTATCGGTTAAATCACCGATTAATTACCCAACAGTACTATCCAAGATTGTTGACAAAGTTTCTTGGATATTCTTAATGCCCAATTGATAATTTTTGTCTTCTTCACTTTTGAGTTGAACGCGTTCTGGCTACGYAGTTGATGCAATTCAAATACTTAGTTGCTTCGTCAAACTTTTATGTTTGTATTTTTGGAAAATGTCACCAAGCGGTGATCTTTTTTCATAATCCACATGCGACGTATTTACATATATGTACAATTTACTGAATGGGTTATAGTACTCCGGGCCGTGCGGTGGGTAGAAAATGGTATGATGAGTGATCGCACGGTGAAAGAAGGGCTGCTCTGTTGGCTGCAAATTGGTTTGGTGCTATTTCGAGGAGACATGTTACTATGTATATAGAAATGGGATTAGTGATGGAATATCTTAAGCATTTGCCATGTCTATACAATACTTAGACGTGTATCTTTTAAGTTGGTATAGTAAAAGGGTATCTATTGAAAAAGGGAGTGGAATTAAAGGTTGTAAGTTCCTTGGGTTGTCCACTTAGTGGACTTAAAAGAAGAGAGTTCAAGCAGGTCTTGATTCGGGTTATGAGAGTAGTGAAGCTTGGATCACTTTTTGAATGGCTCTTTAAACTTCTCACCCCTGTTTCCCAGAGTTAACCTATTAAAGTAAACCAATTAACGGTTTAATTTTTATGTCGTAAGGACCGGAGAAATCAATTCCTGTAATAGCGAATTCTGCTTCGCCCTTCCTTAGTTGCCGCCTGGAGGAAAAAAAATTTGTCAAAAGTTGAGCCCGAAATCAGCCGTTCTCTTTTGTTTTCATTTGAACAATATTGCCATTTCTCTAAACTCATATATAGGTTTCAGTTATGATTTTTTATAATATAAAATATCAAAACTGAAATCAAACTATAAAAAAGATGTAAATATAATATAATATTTATAAATATATTGAAAACGATCTTTCTAATTACATAGCAATCACCTGACTCGTTTCTACGGTGAAAATCCAACTCGAGAAATTCTACGGTAACGTATGGTAAGCGGTTACGGTTAGTTAGTTAAGGTCAAAATTCTAATTTTTACTGGATATGCTTTTTGGGTCAAAACTTCATAATCTGAATGCCGTTGCCATATATGTATGTATTATGAGACTTATTAGAGCAGAACCTACATAAATGTGCTATGACTGGAATAGCTTTTTTTAATAATGAACATCTATCTAGACTATTCTCTTGTGTTTTTTTTTGAAGATAGACTTGATTAGCTGGAATAAAGTGATGTATTAATTAATATTCGCATAACTGGCCAATCCTTTGGGTCGAGTTTTAGCCATTGGGATCCGTTCCACCAGAGGTTTTAACTAACTATTTCCAGAATTCTGCAGCCGCCATAAGCTACATCAGTCGGATTGTCTCAGCTTTCAATGTGACTCTAATTCTTTATTCTAGCCTTTTCAGTATTTTTGGAAACTGGATGGTACACAAATGTTCGGCCAAATAAGTCTTGAATATCAAAAGAGATGTCTAACTGTTTGTATTTATAGAAACACTGATGTATAGGGTAAGCTTTTGCAGATGCGTCAGATAATCCTTAAATATTGATGTCCGCTGGTGTCGAGCAGTGAGTCCATCGAGGAAGTTGGTTTACATACTATTAGAAATGTTAAAGTAAATTTCCGGAATATCCTACAATGCACGTAGCGTTTTACATGTAATGTCTTCAATCGACTCAAGATATATTATCCCTTGTTGACAGTGTTGGCCAGTCAGAAGGAATTCGGAGTATGGATATTTGACTTACTTTGGCGTGGGTTTTATGGCCGATTGATGGTCTGTTTCCGGTTCGTAACTAAATACGCAAGAGATATTACTTTTTATGGTTTAGGCAAGCTTTATAGAAGCCTGTGCCAAAGTAGAACAATGGGCGTGACTCTACCCACATATTTCAAACAAAATAAGTACAAAACATTCTTTTAAAATTTCCATGTCGCAATCCGTAAATGAGTGCAATCGAACAACGTTTGATTCTTTCACTTTCTGGTAAACTAATTAAATTAATACAATGAGATAAAGCTTTGCACGAATAGTGCCCTGTCACATTAAGGCCGAAATTGTTCAAATGGAAACAAAACTGTTCGAGCCCCAAAATACTGAATATGTGGACCCCAATACATATACTTTCCTTCATAATTGAAATTCAGTGATAATCCCTTCTTGAGAAAGGTTTGCCTSTCCGTCAAAAATGGGTTGAGCAGATTAGCCCCTTCGGGTGATTTTATAACGCATAAGTATATCGGCCAAAATGTGAGTTTGATTTCATCGAACAATATATGTGACCTGGTCTACGGAAGGGGGCTTAGGTGTCAAAAAAAATCAATTTTCACTTTCTAGTTGATTCGGATGCAAGATGAGATGCTTTTTCACGTGATAGAATCCAAAAAGTTATAACTTGTTTGAAAGTTCCCTAAAAATGTAGAGAAAGAAKAGTAAAAATACGAAAAAATATAATTTTTTTGTAATGAACAAAATACATTGAATTATAAGCTATAAAGACATGATTATACACTAGAAAAACGTATAATGGGCCAAAAATACCAATGCTGAGTATTTTTCTTTGCTGTCGTTTTCCTTGAGATCTTTTTACGTGTTGATCCTGAGGAAGTTGGGCCTGGTTCATCGTCTGGTTTGAGAACATCTTCACTAGTTTTTGCCTTCCATTTCTTCGATGGCACTGTTACACCCTGTGCGGAAAAATTACGTACTAAATGTTCGTAACGCTTCTTCCCACACGCATGTACAAAAAGGAAAAACGAACGACAAACAGGTACTCTTTGGAAGGTAAATGTAATTTTATGCCTCATAACTTCTGTATCCTGTCTCTGTCCATATTTCTTCCGCCCAGCAAGCTTTGCGTATACGCTTTCCAGCTTTTCGTTACTCATAATTCCAGCTTCGATGTGACTTAGTATCACTAAATAAAGTTCATTTTTCGACATCTCTAAACAATTGTTCCGCGTACTCTCGATCATTTCCCCGAGGTATCAGTGTATGACATTTATTATTACAACAATCTTTTGACAGAAATTKTGTTACCAGCTCCTCCTCCTTTACTTTAACAACAGACAAGTCAATCTTAACAAAAGTTTGTTCGGTATCATCTTCTGCCTGAGATACACATACTTCATCTTCATCATAATCGCTCTCTCCATTGTTTTCATCATCCTTTTCATGGAAATATTGTCCGTATACGGCACTAAACTCCTCATCACACACTTCATGCGAAATGCGAAGACGATAATGAACAGAAACACTTACACAAATGTGATAACAGAACATCCGGAAAGAGAGACGAATGAAAACAAGGCAATAGCAGCTGCGCGGTATTAGAGTAAACGTCCCTTTTTCAGTGTTACTTTTTTAAATATTCCACACTAGCAACTTACACGATGAACGATAATAATATTCCGACCAAAAACAACACTTACTGGACGTTCTTGAAGCCTCTGGAAAGGAGAACAATTAATGAGATAACGAGAAACTGACGAAACGAGTTGTCTTTTCGCACGTTAGCTCCCTTTTCGAAGACCAGGTCACATATGTTTAATTCCTTCGCAAAATCTTTCATGGTTTTGGATATTTGAAAGTTGCAAGAGTATAAACTTTTCGGAAACACCTGAACTTAGACATTCATTAGCCCATGGTGAATTTTTATAGAACATATACATACTCGTATTTATGTATACAAAAAAACGTATATTGTGACTATATATCCTTCTTCTTTACTGGCGTAGACAAGGCTTACGCGATTATAACTGAGTTAACAACAGCGTGCAACTCGATTCTTCTTTTCGATACGTGGCGCCGATTCGAGATTCCAAGCGAAGCCAGGTCCTTCTCCACCTGGTTTTTCCAACGCGTTAAGGTCTTTTTCAGAGCAGAAGTTTTTTCGTCCATGCGGACAACATGACCTAGCCAGCCAATTCGCTGAACTATGCCAATGTAGTCGTATACCTCGTATAGCTCATCGTTCCATCGGATGCGATATTCGCYGTGGCCAAGGCGGAAAGGACCATAAATCATTCGCAGAACTTTTCACTCGAAAACTCGCAACGTCGACTCATCCGTTGTTGACATCGTCCAAGCCTCTGCACCATATAGCAGGACGTTAATTATGAGTGACTTATTGAGTTTGGTTTTTGTACGTCGATAGAAGACATTACTTCTTAATTGTCTACTCCATCCGAAGAATTTTAATTTTTTGGATTTGAAATATTTTTTATAACTTTTTTTTTAACAAATTAATTTATTTAGTATATTATTAATTGCGATAGTAGTAGCTAGGTTACACCTGAACTTAGGTATTCCTTACTTATTATAACTGATCTTTATCAAAAACCTGGTTTTATGGAATTTAAAACTTTTCTCTTTCAGTTCTAAATCACCGCGCCGAATTTGTTTTTTCTCCATTTTTATCACTTAGTATGATAGTAAGCATTGCAATTTGCATAGCAATTTTGGCAATAATATTTTCTCTACGTACAACGTGTAAAAGCTCAACGCAAATAATAAAGGAATTTTCGCATGACCACAATTTATGGGAGGTTTCGAGTCGAAGTTCAGCAAGCAAAGAAATGGACATAAATGAAAGTGATGAAAGAAACCCAGATGTTATCCCTGAGCTACTCGATATCGAAAAACAGGTATTTTCAAAACTATTCTATATGATTRAAGTGAGTCTTTCAAAATTACCTTTAAAATACACTTTTTTACAGACCTAATTACTGACAAAATCAATAATTTTAAATATTTTTATACACTAAACATATTTTACCTAACGATTGTTCATTGTACATGCAACTAAACGAGGTAGTTATATAATCATATACGTATCTCATAATGATCATGTTGATCAGATAAGTTGAATTCCGAAAGACTTCAAAGATAATAAAGCGAATATTTCCTCAATTTCAACCGGAGAATTTAGTTCAGGCTGAGGCAGCCCACCTAGTAATATATTGACACTCATTTAATTTTTAGCAGAAAGGAATATGTAGAATTACAATTTTCTTAACAAGATCAAGATAATATTATTGATCCCACTTAGAATGGACTGAATGGATTTCTGAATTTGCTCTGGTCAAATATATACAATTCTCATGGCACGCTTTTTGTTGCCAAACTCCTCCGAAACGACTGGACCGATTTTGATGAAATTTGCTGTGCTTATTAGGTACGTCTGAGAATCGGCCAACATCTATTTTCCGAATCCCATAATGTGAAGGGTTGTCTACTCCAGAAGTAATTTTTTTGTAAAATTTTGTTTTTTTCGTTTTATGATTCAACATTTTTCGATGCACATAGTTCTAAATTTTCACCCTTATACGATCAACGCATGATTTTTTATTGCGATTTTCATATTATTCTGTTCCATCCGCAGAAACCACAGACAATTGAATATACTAATAATAGTAGTATATTATATTTTTTTTTGCTCTTGCAACATGTTGATACAGAGTTTGATAAAAAGTGTTCCAATATTAACGAACTTAAATTTGGCGCCAACCCCAAAAACAAGTAAGAAAGTCTAAGTTCGGGTATAACCATCATACTTTTACAACTTCTATGGATCGGAGCGGTCTAAATACTTTCAGGTGTTGGCAATATTAGAAAATGTAGCGACAAAATCTAAAATGGATTACAATCAAACCGAAAATTATACTAAAGCATCCTCAATCGAAGTTATATATTTCAACCAATACCACATACTATTAACATGACGCATTCTAACGAACTGCTTTAGGGTTTCATTAAGGTACCTCACATGCAATCACCAAATGTACGAAAATGCTATTATAAGTAATATAGGGGCTAAGTCACTAGATTTTATCAGTTTTATGCCCAAAGATACACTGCTACTAGTAAAGTATGCTCTCTTTTTGTTGAGATAACACACTTATTGGCTGTTAGATCATCCGAATGTTCGCCAATCTGACAATATAAATTTTTAAATTTCAGACATACCATTCTCAAGAAAGGATTCTCCAAATTGCCGTTAAATAAATATATATACATATATATATTATAAAAAGTAATCTAAGGGCACTGGGGTCCACATACTTCGGTATTTAGGGGCTTGAATAATTTCGGTTTGATTTGGAAAATTTTTTGTTCACCTAACGGTTGTACATATGTACAACTTAAAACTAATCAAGACAGATATAAAGTTATGTACATATAAATATGATGAGCATGACGGGACTCGTTGAACGAATTGTATAAGTAATAGACATCTTAGATTGGGATTTTTATTTAACTGTGCGTAGCCCACTATCTAATTAGCTCAATGAACAATCTTCTAAGCCATTCAAACTACTTGTATAATATTTATTATAACCGAAGCCACCCACCTTATGAACATACCTACACCTATAAAACGGGTTTCTTAGAAACTACTAAAGTGCGATAAATTAATAAAAAAAAAATCGTCCAGGACATTAAATTTTACATTCGAGTTACGATGAGAAGAATTTATAACAGCCGATACCAAATGGAAATAGAAATAGAACTGCAAAACGCCTACTTCCCATATAACACAATTGGAAACTCTATCTGATTCTTCCACGTTCGGTATAAAAAACAAGAAATAATCAAATTGTCGGCATACAATGTTTTACGAAAAGTTTCTTCGCCCAAGAATTGTCCAGATCAGACTAAAACTATTCAAGCACCGAGTTAACAAATATGTAGACTTCAGTACCTACTGCAATCTTTCCATCGAAAACAGATACAAGTATATTGTAAAAATTAGATGAGATTCCTTTTCTGATATTGGAATACCTCCATATCAAGAATATGTTCAATTGGATCAATAATTCCATTAGACGAGCGACGCATCTCTTAATCCTCATTACGAATTCTACAAACTAAAGATAAAAATATGTATAACATCGTATCGGCCCATATTTCCTTAGTTTACTTTCATACATGGTGTACAAATACCATGTCACAAAACTGCGAAATATCTAGGCCTGACCCGGGATACAAAATTTAGACGAAATGCACATGTAAAAAGAAAGAAAAAGAAGAATTGGAAATAAAATTCAGAAAAAAGTATAGCTTTTGGGCAGAAACTTTACCCCATCCACATTTTGCCAAAACAAAATTTTAATGTGTGGTATGTTCGAGTGATCTTGAAAGCAATTTCGGAATATGTCAAGCCTCATATCCAAACATTTTGAACACTGAAGTCTTAATTCTTGTCGACCGAAATAAATGGAAAGAGAGGCTTAAACGAAAAACCATATCACTTCAGCAATTTACATACAGATTAATTCATTCAATAAACAAAACAAATTTTGTGTTACAATTATATTAATAATTGCGCTCAAACAAGCCAAGAATGATTTGAGGCTAACATCCCTGCTAATAAATGGGGTATTAGAGATTTCTATTAAAGTTTCTATGAATTTCTTAATGCCCAATTGACACTTCTAACAAAAACTATTGTGCACGTGTTCATCTTTTTCTTACGCGTTGGGGTTATGAGTTGCACGGTGTAATTCCTTCAATGTATTGTTGTTTTCAGTGACTTGCATGTTATGTTATGTTATTATCCTAAATTAGTCTACACATATGCATCAGACAGATAGATTTTAGTATGCTACAAAACCCATATGTAGTATGTCAACCGATATTTTTTTTATTTTTGTACCAAGCAAATGGAGTTCTGTAATCCAATAGCGTTTTGGAAACCAACTATGTGGTGTTGTGTAATGAAGTACTATGGATTGCATTGAACACACATATATTTATACTCTTGCAACCTGTTGCTACAGAGTATTATAGTTTTATTCAGATAACGGTTGTACGTATCACCTAAAACTTAGGGAGATAGATATGGGGTTATATAGAAAATACATACTATACTTATACAAGGGTGAATAGAAAAGTTGAAATCCGGGTGACTGTCTGTCTGTCCCTTCGTCTGTCCATGTAAGCTGTAACTTGAGCGAAAATTGAGATATCTTATTGAAACCCTCTAATAAGTTTAATTTACATATCTCCTAAACTACTAAAGCTACAGAAACCAAATTCGCCTAGTACGAATAGTATAAAAGCTCCTACCGAAATCGAAAAAATTAATATAAAATCCTATAAAAGCCCCAGTTAACGGTACTGTTCAAAACTACTAAAAACACGACAAATCAATTACTAAAAGCGCTGAAATTAACTTGCGAGATGGTATAAGAATTTATGTAAAATCCCATATCTCTAGAGCCGACCTACCGATTCGGATAAAATTTAGTGTGTTGCATTCTTTTGATATTTCTATGTTACAAAGTCAAAATGACACCAACCTCGCCTACTTCACATATAACATAATTTTAAATTTCACTTGATTCTTTCACTTTGAAGAACACATATCAAGARGAAATTAATATAACGAAATAAAAGTTTGCACGAATATAGCTTTTAGTGTGGGCCAACTAATCACCAAAAAATGTCAAATGTGAAAGGTATAGTATTGAAATTAGGTATTATACTTATCTTACAATGGCGTGTCTGTGCACTAAAAATAGTTTGAATCGACCCAATACTTCTCTTATCCATTATATACCTAATTTCAAGATAATCGAACTTCCAGGTGACTTTGTACTGCATATATCGACCAATATGTGAGTTATCTCAATGAAAATGAGGGAGCGTGTCTTACTCTTAGCAATGTATCTTTGTTCCTAAAATAGATAAATGAGAGCAAAAGTTGATTTGCACTCCATATACTAATATCAGGATTTTCGAATATGCAGCTGACTTTGATCTATATGATTGGTTTTGTCGTATGTGGTTTTTTAGTATTGGGAATAATAGATAAATCCGGGTCGACCACTACCACGATGTACTACATAAAATGATATTCGTATACAGGTAGGTACAGTATGGCAAGAAACTCTTTACAAACTGAAAAAAGTATATATTTTTTGACTTTGCATGCAAAAATAACGCCTTTAGTTTCTTTCTTTTCAATATTATTTTAATGCAGAACTATTATGTAGCAAATTTAAATTAGTATGTTCAAAAATATAAACAATGCAGTGAGAGGGAAAATTTTAAAACAACAAAATATGAGTTTACACATTTTTGACACTGTCAAAACACTGACAGAAACTCTTTACACACTTTAGTTTTCGATTCTATTTTGTTCTATTTGAAGAAAAAACAGTACTTTACCGTTATATATGGTTCTGTATTACGCGCTATGTTTGCATTCCTTTTCATTTAATTGCGAAATATTTCTGCACACGTGTCAAAAAGATAATTTTAATATTATTTAACATGCGTGGAGCTAAATTGACTTTTAACGTTACCCAAATGATACATTATAATCACCAACTTGGAAAATCTATAGCTGAGCTAGTGGAGATGTTTCGTGTATCGCGAAAAACAATTTATAATGTTTTACATCAAGCCGAAAATGAAGACAGACTGGAAGCAAAGTGTGGAAGTGGTCGAAAGAAGAGATTGATGAGCGGGCAGACCGCCTTATCATGCTTAAGGTCCGTCAAAACCCCCAAATTTCGACCACAACCCTTACCAAGGAGTTGGAAGAAGAGTGTAGCACGGTTGTTTCACATGAAACCGTCCGCCACCTAATTCTGCGAAACAAATACTCTTCAAGGATTGCGCGTAARAATCCGCTCCT